AAATAAAGAATAAAAAAGTATTTTACAATACATAGTACAAAACTGCTTGGCGATTAGGCAAGCCGAGCCTCAAAGGGCGCCTTGTCGCCTAGGCACCCGCCTAGGCGTCGCCTTGACAACTATGGATTCTAGTGAAGGTTGCTATCCCAACTATTGGCGTGATTCCCATATTTGCTAGTGATTACAGCAGTCCATAGAGCACTTGGTTCTAGAGGGAATTCCCACAACCATTTACTGAGAAGAGCTATGTTTCTTTCTTTCAAGTGGCCTTGCTTTTCCTTTCTTAACAGCGTTGATGTAGCCCACCCCAACCCTTTCTAGCTAACCCCGAACCTCCAAAGATTAGAGCATTTTGCTAAGCAGTTTAATACATTGATAATACAGGTTATACACTTCAAAGAAGAAAGAAATCTGTTGTGTCTTTTCTCATGTCTGAATCCTTTGCCTTAATGATGGAGAATGTCACTCATTCCGTACTTGTGAAACCACTTTTTCCCTCTTTTGCACATATTACACCATTTCAAATAGTCAGATATAAACAAGTTCAAAGGGGACGATAAAAGAGTGTGGAGTTAAGAAGTCAGATATGTTCTCTGTAAAATCGTTTTTTAAAGCAGTTTCAAAGGAGGAAGCTGTATCTTTCCCAAGTCAAAGAATATGGGTTAGAACTGTGCCTTCAAAGATAGCCTTTTTTGTTTGGTCAGCAGTGCTGGATAAGATTCTACCCACGGACAATTTAGTCAAAAGAGGGTTAGAAGTGGTAGACATGGCATGTCCCCTATGTATTGGGAATGTRGAACCATCTAGTCATCTGCTGTTACACTGCAATTTTACTCACCGGATGTGGTTAAGAGTGGTGGAATTATTTGGTGCTAAGTGGTAGACATGGCAGATGTTAGGGGACTCATGGAAGCTTGGTGGCTGAGTGGACTGAGTAAAGCTGGAAAGGTGGTTTGGAGTATTATTCCCGCAGCTGTTCTGTGGGCTGTATTGAGTGAAAGAAATAACAGATTATTTGAAGGAATTCAAAAATCAAAAGAAGATGTTCTGAGGAAAATGATAATCCACTCATGGCTGACTACACACCCGTTGTTTAAAGATAGACATCCAAGTGCTTTATTTTAGTTTAATTTTTTGTTTGTAAGGAGGGAGTAGTTTTTTTGTTTCGGGGATTGAGGATTGTATGGGGCTGTTTTGGTTTCTTTGTATATCTTCTGTTTATTTCACTTTGTACAGGGGTTTCTATAGTTGATTTTTAATGAATTCACTTTACTTTACAGTTTTCAAAAAAAACAAAAACAAAATAAAGCTTTAAAATAATTTTATGGCTTATTTGACTGGTCAACCTAGACTAGTTGATGTTTATGAGTATCAACTAACTAGTGAGTGATGCAGTTGATCTAGCCCTCAACTGACTAGTCAGTTGACTAATTAATGACTAGTAGACAATTTGATAACACTGCAGTGTTTTACAAGCGCAAGGCGCAAGGGCCATTTTGCGCCTGAGGCGCAAGGCGAGGCACGCGCCTTTTTGAGGCAAGGTGTACAATTTAAAAGAAATGCAAAAAAATCGAAAAAGAAGGCAAAAAATTATAAAACATAATATAATAAAAATATTAACTTAAGTTTTAAAATAAATGTTTTAAAAAACCTATTATCTAAAATTAAAATACATAAATATAATATGTAAAGCATATTCAAATGAGAATTTAAAAATGAAATCAAACATATAAAACATCTTCAAGCATATAAA